GATGATGATGATGATGATGATGATGATGATGATGATGATGATGATGATGATGACGACGACTTTTTTTTGTTTCCTTAATGGGCCTAGCGGACTCCGCAAAGAAATTTTCGAGCGAGAGACTCTTTTTCGGCTACACTGTCAATACGCTTAGAAGCTCCTCCACTCGTCCAAATAACTCCAATCGAATTGCCATTGTTCCTATACATTCAAACATAATTATGTTTGACATCCTCCTTTTTATGGCCGCATCTTCGGCAACATGGGCTGAACTCTTCATTTACAAAGTTTTTATACCATCTTAAGCTCCAATGATGGTCCGACCGCAGTCTCGCTAGCTCAACCTGGTCCCAGCGACATGTGATAAATTTTGATGATGATGATGATGATGGTGATGATGATGATGATGATGATGATGATGATGATGATGATGATGATGATGATGATGATGCTGATGATGATGATGATGATGATGATGATGATGATGACTTCGTCGTCTGGTATTTTATCCTGCCATTTGATGCCAAGAATTCTCCTGTCTGGGGCATTTCATATGGAAACAATTAAACTTCTCAGCATTTTGTCAAAAAGCTAAATGAGTGTTTCTTAATTAGCTCTCACGCCTAATTAAATACCACCAGTAAATGGATCCCCCTCTAAAACAACTATTTTATACCCATACAATGTAATATGCGTAGCCAAATGTCTCTAACACGCAGCGCAGTTAAAACGGATTAACGAAAGGGACTAATTTATAGACTTTCAAATTTGTCTCTGTGCCAATGTCACAGAAGCCCCAAACCCTTGCTCTGAGTCTTCCAAAGGATGCACTAGCCTTGCTTTATTCATTATAGGCTACGTAAAGTTACTTCTGCGTGGTCATATGAAGATCGAAGTACATGTATCGTACTTAATTAAATACGGCTAGCCTGCCAGTGAAGCCGTACTTGTCTTAGGCCCTATTAACATTAGAAAACAGGTCTCATTCGTAATTATTCAGGTTTTCAATACATGCACTGTCATTAAGGCACCTGTGCCTATAGTGTACATCTATGAATACAATTAATACTTTAGGTAGGCCCACTGCAAAGTAAAAATTTATTTACAATTCAGTAGGCCTATTTTTTGTTTGTTTGGGGTCAGTCTAGCCATCATATTAAAAATAAGTACGGCCAGTCTCTTCCTAAGAAGATACTTTACTACCAAGGTGCTTAAAGTTATCGACATTGTTCAGTGTTGTTTTGATATGCATTTTGATTTTAGGAGGGAGGGTTTGCGTTTCACCCGGGACAGACTGGATGAGAACTTCTCTGTCTTTGAGAATAATAATTTCATTATTATGGAACCACTGCGAAATTATTATTGAGCGAATCCGGAAATAAACCGGAAACGGCAAAAGTAATCCTTATTTCCTCATTAATATCTCACCCGAGTGGCTGACACTCAAAACAAAAGACATGAGCTGGGAGGGCGCTCATGGAACAAGCTAATTTTTGTGTTGTTTTGTATTTGTAAAAAAGACAACAACAACAAAAAAAAAGACAGAAATTACCCCACAAAAGGAGACAGTAAAGACATGGCTTGCTGCACCAGCCGTGATACGTTTGTGAATCCAGTGCTCAAATACTTCTTGTTTTTTTTCAACTTCACGTTTTGGGTAAGAAGATGATTGATTATATTGGCACTGCACTAGCCTTCTCTCGCTTCATTCATCAACATCTGTTTTGCTTGATGGTAATTGACGTTGGTTTGGTTTGCGTTAACGTAAGTCATGAACATTGCAGGCATGTTACTTCTTATAGATCTGGGCCCAGCAAATATGCTTTGTGACATTGTGGAGAAAGTGTGTTTCAAGTGTTTGCCTTTCACTGATATTTCACATCAATATCAATAAAATTTTATAAAAGGAACTCGCACAACTTCCAAGCCAAAATATCTCTCTGGCTTTGGGCAATGGAGAAAGAAACAGAATTAAATGGAAAGGTGCCTCTTCTAAATCTTGGCTGAGTTTTAGAGTCTGAAGTTTTAAGTTCATGATCTTCTATTTTTTAGAATCTCTATCCTTGCCATAGTCCCATTCATCAGGTATTCAAATCCAAAATAAGACTCAGATACAGCATGAAAATAAAAACTAATCTGAGTAAACATCAGCTTGAATTTAAATACCTTTTGACTATTGCTCTCAAAGCCTATTCGGACTTCTCTGCAACAACATCCTTTTTTTGTAACCACTGCTTACAGTTACAGCAAGGAAAAGCAAAAAGATAGTCATATTTTTATTGTTTTGACACACTTTTCTTAGACACGCGTTGTACCCAAACTATTTAAGGTATCAATATAAAATTTCGCTTGGATTTTACTTTAAATGTTCTTTTAATATTATTAGAGAGAGAAAGATGAAGGAAAGAGCAGAGAATTGAATACAATAATAATATATAATTCTTTGTTCAACTGCGACTCATCGGCACTCGATTAAATAGCCATAGCAACTTATTGTAAATCAATGGTCTAGATCTGTCCAATTGCCTTGCTTTTCTAGATTTACGCCTACTTTCACTTTCTTTGCCGCTTGTTTCGAAAACAAAACTAAAAACATGGTTCATGTATTTTAACAAGCACAAAAAAAGCCGCGGCAGTGTTGTGTTTTTTGTGGCTGGTTTTTTCTTCTTCTTGTCCATGAAGATTTTAGTGCTCGCTTTCTTGCCACGATTTGCGATGGCTAAACAACAAAGCTAACTCGTACTTGGTGAAAAACTGGATCGAAACTTGACAAGCTAGCAAAAGTTTTTAACGTAAGCTAAGCGACTTATTATTTTCAATAGAAACCTATAAAAGTGGTTCGGACTCAATTTTGTGGACTGGTATTTTGCTACGACTATTGTCGTAGCTCGGTGGACGGAAGCGCGCAGCAGCTACGAATATATGCTCGTAGTTTGGGTGCCATATGGGTGAATCTGAATTGTTAGTAGAGCTTACCTTTAACATGCTCCTCCTGCTTGCAAGATTTAAATCAGATGGCGGATGGTTGGCGGGTGCTCTGGTGTGGTTTGCTCCTTCTTTCCTATCAAACATCTATTGTCTACTTTATCTTCCCTCCTTCTTTTTTGTGTTTGTTACTCTCTTGCAACACCTCTAACCTTCGGCACTTATATGACCTTATTGTGTTGCAAGAGCTGTAACAACTCTTACTAAAACTAAATCAGATGCAGTTGTGATAAAAAAAACTACTAAAATTACTTTCTTTCCCACAAAGTGAGAAAACACCATAGAATGTGTGTGCGGTTGAAGAGCATTGTATTGAGAGTTCAATTTTAGTTCTGCACCAGGCCCAAAAAGTCCGTCGTAGTCACTCTCCTGGTCCACCAGACATTGCCATTTCAAAATTTGATATTATTGATAAAGTAAAAACTATTTGGACATATTAGATACAGTTTTCTTTTTCTATGAAAGCGTTTCTTTCTTTATTTTGTTAATTTAAAAAAATTATGATAGCTTTCACAGTTTTTTTGTGGTCAACGATTCAATATAACCCAAGACTGTCAGGCTGCAATGGTTGTTCTGTTAACAATAGGTCAGACGCTTGTGAGTTGAGCTAGACTTGAAAGTTTACTTTTTTATCAATATTTAACGATAAATTTTATTTTATAAAAATGCCTTTGTATGTACTCTTATCTCTAGCTTGGAGGTCTACTTCTCTTGGCTATTGGAGTGTGGGCTCACTTGGAAAGGGACAGGTTTTCATTTGATGACTTCAGATCTGTCTTTGACTTCATCACTGATGTATCCATATTCTCCATCGTCACGGGATGCCTTATGTTTTTACTCGGATTCTGTGGATGCCTCGGTGCTCTCCGAGAAAATACCTGCCTTATAAAACTAGTGAGTAAAAATGAAACTTGATGACTCTTTAAAATACTTTGGTATATATAATTTTGTCCCCGTGGTTTTATGCACCCCGCATAATTTAGCAAAATTGGATCATTTTTTGCATAATTTCTGATTATTTTCCTTTATCATTCTTTGTTAAAATTAACAGAATCGCATAATTTCACATTTTGGGCTCAGTTTGCATAATTTCAAAATTTCTCTTGCATAAAAGGACGGGGACAGATACTTACATTGAGACATATCAGGCTTTTCTTTCCTGAGGTTAACATAGGGAGGTTGTAAGTCAGACGTGGGCAAATGTGTCCAAGTCATTAGTTGGACTAAGAGGTTTTCTGCATATCTCGTAGAGCAGAGCAGGAGAAAGTTGGGCGAAATGGGTTCCAACACCCCAGCTGTCAAAAGTGAGACTAAATCTGACACTATAGCATATGATCGCGACCTCAGTGCTTTATTGTCCTATCTCCATTTTTTTTAAACAGTGAAAATTTGACTCCTTCTTAAGCTCACTCTATGTTATGAACTGTTTTCACTGTTATTAAAAATGGAGATACGACAAGAAAGCACTGAGGTCGCGATATATTTCTCAAGGGACGTTTCAGGAGATAAAATATCTGATCTATTGCTTCCAGCTGGATCAGCAACTATTGACATTAATTTTCAAGACGGACTATTTTATTTTTGTTAATCATCCGCTTACTATATGAGCTACATTCATTATTTATTGATAAAGAACTGGATTGCCCCGTGGACTGGACTGAAACTGTTTGCAGGTCTGATTTGGCCCATGGGCAGTAGTTTGCCTATTCCTGTTGAAAATCTCTGATGAAATAAGGGGGTCAACGATGGCCTACGAAGTGATGTTCACATTTTTAAGATTACAGCCAGAATGTTTTGTAGCAGGTCTTAACACATCATTTTTTTCCATTTAATTCCAGTACTCATGGTAGTCATTGCAAAAGACGCAAGATTCATGATACAACATAAATGGACTGAACACGATAAAATAGCATATTTGAAAATCATTGACGTTTTAAAAAATAAAGTTTTGGTCTTACTCTTACGGGTAGATTTTTAATGAAATATCCTTTTTTAAATTTATTTTTTTCCTTCAAAAGGCATGATTTCATATTTTCCATTTGTGTTGTATTTTAAGTATATATATCGCAGTATATGAAAGAAAAAGGACATTCCAGCCATGCTCCCCTTTGAGAACAGCGTATTTTTGACGGATAATTACTTTTTTATTTTGATTATTTGACCATTGTATTGTTGAAATAGATTTACACTAATGGCTGCTTATCTTCATCTTCCTCAGTACTACTTCACCCTCTGCGTTATATTTTTGGGGCAAGTAGGGGGTGCCGTTTACGTCTTTTTGAAATCAAATGAATTCAAAGATATGTTCGTAAAGACGTTGAAAGAGGAGCTGGTTCCATTGTATACTGAGCGGGCAGACAAGAAGACTCTTGTGGATTGGTTCCAGGAGCAGGTATGCCACTCATTTATTTGCTTGATATATTACGCGGTTCAAACAAAACCTTTTTGAGGTCAATGAATATTTTTTTGTTGTCTTATAAAAAAATATTTTGAGGTCCTAAATTGGTCGCTTTTAAGCACAAGGGGACTATCCCAAAAAATACTGTTTTGAGAAAATTGAAGGTAAATTTTATTTTGCCCCTTGTTCAGTTTCTTTAAAATACAAGAAGAGTTTTCTCTATAACCAAACAAATATACATACCACTAAAACCAAACATCTCCTATAGGTAGGTAGGGCAATGCCTACTTTTGGTGTAGGTTAAGATTTCTGGAAACCCCTGAAGTCTGGGTTAGCCCGCATGTCTTTAAAAGCGACCAATTGTTAGTTGTGTCAGCTATTTCAAGCTTTCTATCTGTCAAATCTTAGAATATTTGTGTATGCCGAAATGTGATTTGTTTCAATAATAATTGTTATTACTGTCATTACATTTGAGAAACGTTTTGTTGAACGAGGGATATTTAAAAAACAAAAAACAAATCTATACACACAAAGATATTCCGTGGGTGGTTGGCGTTTGCTCCGGTGTGGTTTGCTTCTTCTTTCCTATCAAACATCTATCGTCCTTATCTCCCCTTTTTCTTTTTTATGTTTGTTTCTCTCTTGTAACACCTCTAATCTTCTGGCGCTCATATACCTTATTCATTCGCAAATGCCATAGAATCTCTATTAAAACTGAAAGATATTTCAGAATGTTCGTTTACATGTACCTTTTGTGTGACAAATGCCGCCAAACTTTCTAAAACTGAAAAAAAACCGCCCATACATATATTTATAGTGTGCTTCTCTTTTTTATAGTTTAAGGAAAACTGTTTAGCTGGTATGTATTCTTTTCTTTCAGTGATAAAGTATTTTAGAAGAAGGGTCTTCCTTAAAGCTGACAGTGCGGGTGGTTGGCGGGTGCTCTGGTGTGGTTTGCTCCTTCTTTCCTATCAAACATCTATCATCCTTATCTCTCCTCCTCCTTTTTTGTTGTGTATGTTACTCTCTTGTAACACATCTAATCTTCGGCACTTATATAACCTATTTGTTTTGCAAGTGCCGTAAAACTCTTACTTAAACTAAAAGCTGACAGTGGCAAGTTTATGTAAATATGCCCTGTGTACAAGAAAAATTGCTGGAATTGAGAAGAGAAAGTGGAAGGACCAGAATACGTTACCCAAAACGTGCTCTCTTTTTTTAAACTTCGAATGTTTTAAAAGCACTCGAAACACAATTTTCTTTGCATATTATTGACACAGGTCGTGTGCGTATTATTTTCAGCTGGGTTGTTGCGGCATGTCCAATGATGGCTACAAAGACTGGAACAACAATGAGTACTTCAACTGCACGCCGGTCAACAAGAGCCCACTGGCCTGCGCCGTCCCGCACTCCTGCTGTATACAGCAAGACACAGTCAATGTTAGTACCGGGTTTTGTCATTTGTTCCCTCAGGTCAAGTCAGTATAGGGGGCTCTCGCGGCCCAGAGGTTTGGTGTTCGCCTCTCATTCAAAGGTCCCGGGTTCGAATCCGGGTAGTGACACAAAAATTTTCTTCTCTAAAATTGTCTCCTTTCACCTCCTTTCCTGATCTCTAACAATGTTCTGTTGTCTGCTTTCATTTCCACTTTCTGCCCCCACCCCCTCACCTCCTTTGCCCCCTCCTCCTGGCTCCTGTCTCTTTCTGCAGCCTTTCTATTGCAACACCTTGCAGGGTGGCCAGGGAAGTCGGAAAATGGTTGTAAATTTTTGTTTAGGTCGGATAAGTCGGATTTTTGTAGGAAAAATTTTGTTCCGATGGAAATGGTTGGATAAACGTTGGCAATAAAAGGAAATTTGAGGAAATCTGTAAGTTGCCTCAGGAAAGACCCGGGAAAATACATAAAAGTTCTCGAATATTTGAAAACCAAATCCGATAACGTCCCTAAGTTCATTTTGTCGGTCGCGATCATTCAGTTTTTCCCAGTCTGAGAGTACGTTTCATGCGAATAGGCGGCTATGGCGGCAAGCGGAAGTGTACGAGTGATGCCGAGGCTCGATCGGGAAAATCTAGATTTACTTTCGCTTTCACAACCACCCTGAAATTTGCCGGTAAAAGTCTGATAACACAACATTGTTGTAACATGCAGTTTGTGCATTACAAAGGCTGTGTCGCTATGAAAAATAAATCAATATTTGTCTTTTGTGTAAAAAGAAAAGAAAGTTGTACAAGCATCTTGTCGGGCTCGCCGTCGTGACCGGTCACTGAACCTGTGCGTTTGTATGTCACACTCATGATGATAGGGCGTCGAGTGAGTTCCGCGAATGTTAGGGTCACTAAAGTTCATTCTAAGTCTGAGCGTTGCGAAGTATAGGACTCCGGGATGGCGGGAATATTAATTTTTTTTTAAAGATACACCAGGGAAAAAAACTGAACTTGGTAGCAAATTTTAGCATTAGCATTTAGAATTTTGATTGCAACAAGAGCTTTCTGCATAGCGCGTGTTGTGCAGGACTTGTGTGGAATTGGGATCCGTCATACCTTGTAAGCTGTGTTATTGAACTAAAGGGTTGGCGTGTCATTGGATGGGTGATAGTCGTTTGACCATGGAAAAACTCAATAAAATAGTCTTTGGAGATTTTTCTAATGATTTTTGTGACTATATATGTGTAGACTATAATTAGAGAGAGAGAGATTTAGACTAGATCCAGCATCATGGGAAAGTGCTACTTCATCAACACTGAGTGGTTGTCCAACCCTAAGTATTCAGAATGATTGATGGAGTATCCAAATGATAAAAGCAAGTTTAGATGAAAATTTTGTTCCCAAGTATTTGTCATCGGTCATTCAGGTGTAAAAGCTTTGAACACTCACATGGTACCTCAAAAACACATGAAAGCCCGAACGAGCCAGTGTGGTGCCAAATCTATTCTTAAGGTTACCAAAAACAGAACAAGTGTTGTGAGAGATACTGAAAGGAGCACCAACAGTAATATAATAGTAATCAACTAGAGCAATTGTTGACACGAGTCTTCTCATTCATGAGATGTTTTCAGGCTGAAAAATAGCTGAGATTTCAGTGTAGTTGCACAAAACGTGGCTACCTTGGAACATTAATTGGGATTGCCCCAGTGATGTAGTCGGCTATCCTAAGATGTATACGAAATAGCCCCTTCTACGTGATTCTCTTTGACGAGAGCCGTCACATTGACAATGGCAAGAAACAACTTGACCTATAGTGGTAGGATTTTTTTTGGTGTGGTAGGATTTTTAGGAGGAAAATTTCCCTGGCCACCCTGCCTTGACTCCTTCTTACTGCTGTCTTTCAGCCACACCCCTGATCTTCTGGTAGGAAAGATTTACACCTAGCCTTCTTGGACAAGGGCAAAAAATCTCGGAGGGCCAGTGTGGAAGTTGTGCACGTTAAAGATCCCTTGGTGGTCTAAAATCGTTAAGAGTAGGCTTTGGCCGCCACCCGGGCAAAATTCAAAATTTCCTACCAACTGAAAAAGTTAAATGTGTCCCCCGCACTCATATGACCTTATGCAGTTGCGAGCGCCGTAAAACACTTAGAAAAACAACAAAAACAAAACTCAGGGCCATCTGCTCCAGTGTAGTACCAGCTGAGCTTACAGAGAGCTTCAACCAGCTTCATGGAAATTTTTGTCTCACTCATATTAATCTGCCTTTGGAAAGTGCAAAAGGGTGTTGCATTTTGCAATTTTTAAAGGATTTGAGTGGGTGGTTGGTGGGTGCTCTGGTGTGGTTTGTTCCTTCTTTCCTATCAAACATCTATCGTCCTTATCTCCCCTTCTTTTTTATGTTTATTACTGTCTTTTAACTTCTCTATTCTTCTGGCGCTTACATAACCTTATGCAGTTGCGAGCGCCATAAAACCCTCTACGTAAACAAAAACCAGGCCCATCTGTTCCAGCGTAATACCAGCTACATGGAAATTTTTGTCTCTTATTAATCTGCTTTTGGAAAGTGAAAAAGGGTGTCGCTTTGGTGTAATTTTAAAAAGATTTGAATTGGTTCGCTTTACATGATTTCCTTGAAAAGAACTCATTTTTGCTTTTTTGTTTTCTAAGTTTGTGTTTTGATTAAGTCTTCTGCTTGTCTTTGAATAGGTCCAGGCCTTTTTTTATGAAAATCAAATTTACTGTCTTTTCAGGATGGTGTTCCCAACATTTTATGTGGTACCGATGCTCTTGATCCGAAGGTGAGCTTAAACCTGATTGATAGAAGTTTTAGAAACTCAGTTGTGATAGTGGGTGGTTGGCGGGTGCTCTGGTGTGGTTTGCTTCTTCTTACCTTTCAAACATCTATCGTCTTTATCTCCCCTCCTTCCTTTTTGTGTTTGTTACTCTCTTGTAGCACCTCTAATCTTTGGCACTTATGACCTTATTGTTTTGCAAGGTACAAAATTACCCCTGGGCGTACGGATAGGGTTAAAAAAAAAATTATGACTCTGTCCAGGATGTGTAAAACTACCACTTGTCTCCTTTACAGTGAGCAGTGTTTCTGGACAATTTCTACTGTAGTTGAGCAGCTTTCCTGGACAATTTCTGCTGTAGTTGAACAGCGTTTCTGGACAGTTTCTACTGTAGTTGAGTAGTTTTCCTGGACAATTCCACAGTAGTTGTGCACCTTCTTGGCTGAACAATTTTCACTGTAGTTAAGCTTCTTTCCTGGACAATTTCCGGAACCATCTCTACTGCAGTTGAGCAGCTTTCTTGGACAATTTCTACTGTAGTTGAATCCTTTACGCTCCACAAGTTTACCCATCTTAACATGTGCATATATATGCGTTTTCACAAATTCTCCTGAGGTGGGTGGTTGGCGAGTGCTCTGGTGGGGTTTGCTTCTTCTTTCCTGTCAAACATGTATCATCCATATCTCTCCTCCTTTTTTGTGTTTGTTACTGTCTTGTAACACCTCTAATCAGCGGCACTTATATGACCTTATTGTGTTGCAAATACCGTAAAATCTAACTGAAACTAAGACAAATGTAGTTGAAACCCTTAGGCTACACCAGTTTACCCATCTTTACATGTGCATATTTACGTTTTCACAAATTCTCCACAGGTGGGTGGTTGGTGGGTGCTCTAGGTGTGGTTTGCTTCTTCTTTCCTATCAAACGTCTATCGTCCTGATCTCTCCTCCATCTTTTTTATGTTTGTTGCTCTCTTGTAACACCTCTTATCTTCGGCACTTATATGACCTTATTGTGTTGCAAGTGCCGTAAAACTCTTCATCATCATTGCCTTTTTCACCCTGGATCAGGATATAGGCCACGAACAAACACGTTCCACCTTTCCCTATCTTGGGCTAGTCGCTTGATGTCACTTTTACTAAAACTAAAGACTAACATTCTCCCCAGGTCCAAGGGTCCACAGATAACATCTACGTCATAGGTTGTGTGTCGGCTGTGCTACGAGTCGTGGAGAGTAACTTCCCCGTGGTGGGAGGTGTCATCATTTGTATCGCTTTACCACAGGTCAGTCTGGCTTTCCCGTAACTCTTTAATCCCCATTGGACACTATTAGCGTCTTGCGGTAATAACCCTGTTGCCCACCGAACGCTATTAGTGTCTTGCTGTAATAACCCTGTTCCTCATCGGACACTATTAACGTCTTGCTGTAATAACCCTGTTCCTCATTGGACACTATTAACGTCTTGCTGTAATAACCCTGTTCCTCATTGGACACTATTAACGTCTTGCTGTAATAACCCTGTTCCTCATCGGACACTATTAACGTCTTGCGGTAATAACCCTGTTCCTCATCGGACACTATTAACGTCTTGCGGTAATAACCCTGTTCACCATCGTTGCTGTAATAACCCTGTTCCCCATCGGACGCTATTAGCGTCTTGCGGAAATAACCCTGTTCCCCTCCGGACACTGGGAGCGTCCAGTACTAGGTGACTAGTGACGTCTGTTTCGTTTTATTCAGTACCAAACTAGTTTTTGTTTGTTTCTCTGAACTATTCCAGATCTAAGTTTTTCCGTAATCACTAAGCCTTTGTTTTCACAATTTAGAAGTTTAGAAGTTGGAGGCAAGCTTTTGGGGTTATAATGAGACAGTAGTGCGTGCACCAGGTTTAGGTGACTGGAGAAAAAAGTCAGGGAAACGGTTGAAAAAACTCCGGGTATAAAGAGTTACGCCAGTGTGTCCATCAGACCAGAAACTGGCCAACAGTTAATCATTCTTCTCTCAGGAAGTCAGTACGGTAGCTGAAATGGTGCTCCGGTTTTTACCTGAGCAACACATACGTTTTTTTCTTTACTTGGTAGTTGTCTCTGCTTTATTTTGTCCCATCGTGTTGACCCGGTGTCTGCCAATTGGTTTGCTGCTCTGTCTCTTTTCTATATGGCTTACGTCTTTCATACCTCTCTTTCTTCTTTTCGTGTTCTCTCAGCTGTCTTTTTATTTTTTTGTGGGTGGTTGGCGGGTGCTCTGGTGTGGTTTGCTTCTTCTTTCCTATCAAACATCTATCATCTTTATCTCACCTCCTTTTTTTATGTTTGTTACTCTCTTGTAACACCTCTAATCTTAAGACGCTCATTTGACCTTATGCAGTTGCGAGCGCTGTAAAACTTCTACTAATACATTCTATATGGCTTACATCTTTCATATCTTTCTTTTTTCTTTTCATGTTCTGTCAGCTGTCTCTGTATTTTTTTTATTTATTTGGTTTTTTTGTATATCCATTATTTCTTAATTAGTGTGGTATGGTATGGTTTGGGTTTTACACCCCTTTCAACTCTATTAGGTTCTTAATTAGTGTGGTATGGTATGGTTTGGGTTTTACACCCCTTTCAACTCTATTAGGTTCTTAATTAGTGTGTGGTTGGGGGCACTCTGGCGTGGTTTGCTCCTTTCCCCATCAAACATCCACCGTCCATATCTTTCCTTTATATTTTGTTTGTATGTTACTCTCTAGTAAAGCATCTAATGTTAGGCACTAATATAAAATATGAATGACCTATTTGTCTGTCCCTGTGGTTTTATGCACCCCGCATAATTTAGCAAAATTTGATCATTTCTTGCATAATTTCTGATTATTTTCCTTCATCATTCTTTGTTAAAATTAACAGAATCGCATAATTTCACTTTTCGGGCTCAGTTTGCATAATTTCGTATTTTTTTTTGCATAAAACCAGTTACAGATTTGTGTTGGAAGTGCTGTAAAACTCTTACAAAAACTAAACGTCTTCAATTCATTCTTTGCAGATTTTGGGCATTGTCGTAGCTCGCACTTTGGACGGCCAAATTTCGGACCAGCTCGCCAGATGGCGGAGATACAACCAAAGGTGAAAGGTCAAAGAAGAGAGTAGATCACTTCAGCAAGCTCATACTTCTGACGCATTTCTTCACCACCGCTAAGACATTTTATGTCCTAGTGGAGAACACATCACATGTATATATATATATATATATATCTGAAACTCATTTGGGTCGTTCCGGGAAAAATGAATCTTCTGCAGAAACTCGTGTAATACGTGAGTGATGACTTGTTGAAAAAAAATTCTAAGCAGTCATTAAAAATTATTTTTTTTACAGAAATTTAAAAAGTAAAGTGATACAGCTATTCTTTATATAATTTATTTTATTTTTTTACACGCGGGTGGGGTTTATTTGAAGTAACGTTCCTTTAACATTTAAAGAAAAGATACAGTATGGATGCTTCGGTTTTTTTTCGGCAGGTCATCCTCCCAGAGTTATGTGTGTCAGTAGTTTCATTCTTCGTGTACATGGTGGCCCTTACCTTATGCTTGTGGGGAATTTTGGATCTGATTGTAAATGGAATGCTTGACTTGTGTGTGCGCTTGATGTCTTTTATCTTCTAATCAAAAGCGAGGTAGAAGGTTACATACGCTTGTTTACTTCGCTCTGGCATATTGTGGACTCTGGTAGAGGAGTTTGTTGATTGTTGGTCTGTATGTTGATGGAAAAACGCGTATGTTCGTTTGCAGCAGACAAAAGTCCCAATGTGGACAGACTAATGTACACGTACACACTGACGCTAGGATGGACTTTTTCAACATCTTTTGAGGCTGCGTAGTATAGTCTGTTCACATTTTGACTGCTCTATGCATTCTGTAAAGGTGTTGAAAAAGTCCAGCCCAATGCCGGTGTGTACTTTGAGGTGAAGAAAGTGATAATAATGTCATAAGTTTCTGTTTATGATTGTGCACGTTTGTGAGGTGTGCAGACAGACAAAATGAGTTACTTCTCGGATTTTAACCGTATGGACATTGATACACCAACTTCATAGGTGGAGTTTGCACATTTTGTAAGTGTGGAGTAATAAAAGACATACTTGCTTGGATTTTCTTGGATCCAGAGCTAGAATCATAGCAGGCGGCACATGTCCATAGCTGCTCATCTCTCCTTTCCAGCGTCCACCTCAGGGTCTTCCTGCTAATTGTCTCCATGAGGAGCTGGTTTGAGACACGCCTGACCACTCCTCAGAGCAAACTTTTTTCCGCTGTGCCCCGCACACACTTTTCTTTTATTGTGCTGAGTGTGTGGGAGTCTGACTCCTCTTGGTTGAGAAGGCTCTCCTTGCATCGGGCGATCACCATTGGTGGGTCGAGCATGATTTGGCCATTGGGTGCTGCTTTGCCGGCAAGTTCATCAGCACGCTCATTTCCGTGCACCCCGGCGTGACCAGGGCAGAACACCCATGTAATTCTTAGGAGGTGGCTATTTGCAATGGAAGCTCTCCAGTCACTGTAGAGCCACCCACTCCTGATTTTTTCTAGGGTGCTCATCGAGTCTGTGACAAACAGGGCATGTTTATACGCTTCCATGCTAAAAGACGAAGTACACTTGAACAAAATTGCTTCAATTGAAAGTCTATAAATCTGACCCAAGTGTCGATTATTGGCTGATATCTTTATTCTTGGATTGCGAGAAGTGACTCATTTTGTCAGCAGGCTCCACATTTGTGTGTGTGTGTGTTGTCTTGTGCAACTGAAGATTTGTGCTGGTATCCTTATAAAGAATGTTGTGTGTATGGTTTTTTTATGCTATGGCATTCCTAGAGTTTCAGACATCTGACTGTGGGTGGTTGGCAGGTGTTGTGGTGGGGTTTTCTCCTTCTTTCCTTTCACACATCTATTGTCCTTATCTCCCCTTCTTCTCTTCTTTGTAGGTTAATCTCTAGTAACGCCTCTATTTTTCTGCTCTTGTACGACCTATTTTTGTTGCAAGTGTCGTAAAATTCTCCCTAGAATTAAATCAAATTTTTAAAATATGATATATGATAGTTGCACATTCAAAGTGGTGATGGTAGAACTTTCTGTTAGAATATCTCAACTTCTTAGTGGAAAACTTTTCTCTATAGCACTTTGAAAAGTGATGTAAAAGTGAAAGGTCTTGTCAGTTTGTTAGTGTTTGAGCGCTTAACCGGCTGCCTGCTCTGCCTGATTACACCACGATGCTTCACAAATGATTTCAAAAGCATGCAGATTTTACTAGCGTATGGACTGGAGCAAGGAATGTATGTGTAACCTGGGAGGTGCCTGTTTGTTGATGAAAATTGAATGAATGTATTTGGATTTGATTAATGTCTGTGTTTCGTGCAATTTAGCCATCGGCGCTGCGCTTAGCGTGTTTTAATGATCGTATAAATGCGCGGCAATCTTAAAATTGCGCTGCGCATTTTAACTATCGTATAGTTGTGCAGAAATCTGAAGATTGTGTTAATATTTTACATTTTTGAAGAGCTCACAAGAATGATACAATGCCAGGTATCAAACTCAAAGTTCACAAAGTATATTTAACTTATTTCATATTTTAACCCTTCCAGCCCCAAGCGCGTATATTTTCAGCAGCGCTTGTACCTACCTCCGTCCCAAGAGCGTATATTCTCAGTTTCGTGGGGGGGGGGGGGGGGGGGGTACCGAATTCGCGCATTTTTCGAAAATAAGCGAACTTGATTAAACTTTAATTTTCTTATTACTTGTTCATTTATCTTAAAAAATTGGTATATGTTATTATCAAAGCTACATTACAAAGATACTACATCACTTTTTAGAAATAATGCCTCTTTTTCTGAACTACTGCTGTATTGGCTGGGACTGGGGTTAGGGAGTGCACAAAAATGGCTGGGGCTGGAAGGGTTAAAAATAATTTTTAGAAAATTCACTTCCATCTTTATTCTTTTACTCAATTCAAGGAACATGCTCGTATATCTTCAAAATTGTAAAAATATAAAAAATGAATTAAAATTAAGATGTGAAACTAAAGAGCTCACAACAATGATACAATTATGCGATCATTAAAACGCGCAATGCAATCTTAAGATTGTCGCGCAATTGTACGATTGTTTAAACGTGCAGCGTAAGATTGCCCTGATTGGTAAATTGCGCGGAACGTCTGTATTGTTCCATTCCCTGTAATGGTTTTGAACTTCATTTCTCTGCTACTCTAGTCGTTCTCTGTGTGATCACAAAAGGAGAAGAAACTCGCTGTGTTTGCTGATTTAAGGACAGGGTATTTTAAACCAAGCTGTGTACATTTACTCATTTTATGTACTTGAAAAAGAGATTTCAACTTTATTAGGTTCCCCTGGACCTGTACCTTAGTCTCGCATATTTTGTTTCGGTTTTTTTTCTTGTTTTTTCAACATTTTCAGTGCATTTTGTCAAATATTTTTATACTCTTTTGTAAATAGGCTGTATTATACTGAACAGTAATGGGTTGTCATTTTTTACAAAGATATAAGCGTATATGGTCAATCTCGTGTAGATATGTAAGATGATTGACCCATAAACATATGATTACAAGGTCACTTTTATATAAGTCCAGTTCAGTGCATTAACATTGTAAAGAAAAAGAAAGATGGCCACTCAGTAACCAGTGGGTATTTGTAACATAAACTGTAAGTGGATGAGATTCATGATTATCATTATCATCATTATCAAATTCCAAACAATTTTCCTTGTGAGTTGCTGATGGGTGCTCTGGTGTGGTTTACTCCTTCTTTCCTATCAAACATCTATTGTCCGTGGGAGCCCCCCCCCCCCCCTTGGGAATGGCCTGAAGACACTTCAGTCAGTAGCACTGTCCCGGGGGGTAACTTCGTTGCTTCTCTGAAGTCGTTAAACACTCTGTTGAAGATTCCTCATGATTTCCCCGCCTGTTTGCAAGTTAACTTTGACGAGTCGACTGATAGACTCAGAATTTTCCCTCATCGCTATGACGTATAATATGCCTCTGTGAATACTCAATCTCAATCTGTTCCAGTCCAGAATTTTGGAAATAATGTTCCCGTTTTGATCTGAAAATAATCTTTTTTTTTAAAAAACAAATCTCTGATTTCAATGGGAAATTTTTTTTCATTTTGTCTATAGTGTGTTATATTTTTCTAAACAAATAGGTAAATCAGTGGACAAATCTAATCATAATAATGTAGTAGACTAGTGACTGCTTATGGAAGAAATTACATCCAGCAGGATAGAAGATTGAAAGAGTGAATGGGTTACACAGGTTTCTCTTGTTCAAGCTAGCAATGTAAAAAAAAAACCCCCAAAAAACCTTTCAGTGTATTATTTTGTCTGTTGTACTTTTATACAGTATGAGGTGAATTTATTCACAGGCAAGCCTTTTGAGATTTTTACTGAACATGGCATTGTTCATTATAATAAACGTGCGTGGTGCTATGATATTATAACATTACGGAAAAGAGCCGGCTTGCTTTTATCTTGCCGCTTCAGCTTGTGAGGTGTGAAATGCTCCTGCATATTCAGTGGTGCTGGCATTATATAATTTCCATAGCCCACCAGGGGTTTGAGCAAAAGTGTACAATGCACATTTTATTTAAGCTAAATGGGATGCTAAAGATAGTGGCAAGAGTGTTCTATGGCCTGTGTGTAGTATTTTGCTTAACTTGTATGTTTCACTCTTATGAAGTGGCCTTGTAAATCTCAGATCAGATCACATACAACTTCTTCTTCCTCTTCTAAGATCTTCTATCCTGTGGTTGGGGCAACTGTGAGGGCACCACTGCATCTGACAACCAGGTCTTGTCATTTCTCTCTGTCCTCTGCTTTCCTCAGATTGTCACCCATCGTCTTCCCTGTCCACTCGGTGATGTTGTCCTCCCATCTCCTTCTCTGCCTTCCTCTCTTTCTCTTTCCTTGTACGGTTCCTTATAGGATTGTTTTGGCAAGTCCTGTGGATCTTGTGACAGGCCCATACCATTTTAATTTTCGTTTCTTCACTGTGGTCAGTAGATCTTCGTGCTGCCCCACTGCGTTGGTGATTCTGTTCCGTACCTCAGCATTTGAAATGTGGTCTTTGTACGATATGTCAAGGAGTCTGCGGTAACATCTCATCTCTGTTGTCTGAATCCTTTTCTCTGATTCTGCTGTCAGTGTCCACGGCTCACAAGAGTATAAAAACATTGAGATGAACAGTGAGCGTATCAGTCTGAGTTTTTAGTTGAGCGGGTTGTTTCTGTCCTTCCAAATAGGCTTCAGTTTTGACCGCTCAGCTGTTATTTGCGCGATTCTGGAGAGAATTTCAGGTCTTTAGCCTTTGTCTGAGACGATTGATCCAAGGTATTTGAAGCTGTTGACGGTCTCAAGTTTCTCGCCACTGACATACTACTACATAAGAATAAAGGATACCAGTACATGGTTGGAGATTTGAGCTGGTGTTGTAATAATTGAGATGGTCATCACTTGTCTTTTTCACCCTGGCGTTGGGTATGGGTTGTCATGAGGGTCTGTCCACCTGTCTCTGTTTGAGGAAATCTTCACCACCTCCAGCCAGCTGTGTCCTATATAAATACCCGAGATCTGCCTCCAGATAATTGAGATGCTAGTTATATCTATTCTTATATTATCTCTTTTTCTCAAGCAAGTTTTGCATGTGGGTGGTTGGCGGGTGCTCTGCTGTGGTTTGCTCCTTCTTTCCTAGCAAACATCTATCGTCCTTATCTCC